CCTTAAGCTTTATAGATACATCTCCTGTGCTGTGATTTGCTCTGTCATGTCTGACTCCTTGCGACCCCATGGACTGTAGCCCACCAGGCTCCTCTGTCCACGGAATTCTCCAGGCAAGAACACTGGAGTGGATTGCCATGCCCTTCTCCAGGGGATCTTCCCAACCCAGGGATCGAACCCAGGTCTCTGGCATTGCAGGCAGATTCTTTAATGTCTGAGCCACCAGAGAAGCCCCTGATACATATCTAGACTCAGAATTTTCCAACTGAAGCAAGTTATATGGCTATCAAGAGTAATGGCTCTGTATTGCTTAATATTGGATATAGGAGTATGCTTGGTCACTTAATAATTTGGCCTTGGGAAAACTTTTGAATTTCTTTACTAAATTTGTCACTAACGAAATGTTACTAGCAAGAGTGTTTGCTATGAATATAGTAAAGTTTGTAAAATATAAATTATGTGTCTGGCAGATGGTTCAAGAAATATTGGTTATTTTTATAAAAGTTTTAAATTGTTTTTATTACAGTTTATATTCTTCAGTATGACCATGTTTACAAACATGCCTTCTTCCCTGTTTCTTCACATCCTACTGAATTACCTATTGAAATATACCCCATTAATTCTGGGATGCAGTACCATAATCAATATTTTTAAAGTGTGAGCAGGCCCCTTTTCTACTCATTGTTGCCTAAAAAATTTTTTACAATGAATTAAATTTGGGAAACTTATTTGAATATTTAAATGATGAATGAGTTGTTGGAATTATTCTCAGACATATTAACCAAGAATGAGAATTGATGTCCTTCTTCTCTCTACTTTGTCTATAGAAATGGGATATAATATTTATTTATATAATATATAGACAATAAATACAAATGATTTATAGTTTTAGTTTGTATTCATTTCTTGAAAAACATGAAGAATATGGTAGTATATTTGTACCTTTTGCTTAAATGATAATTTGTCTTTTTCAGTAGTAAATTATATCATCAATAAATTCCTCCTTCACATTTGATGTATAAAAATTGCTTTGTACTGCTTTATAGTTAAAATGTTTAAGTGCTCACTAAAACTTCTTACCATATATTATTGCTAAATTATGATTATGTTAAAAATCCTACTGAAGCTATTGTTTCTTTATGACTACTATTGAAATGTTCCCCATTATAATGTACATTATATACTAAAATCAAAGACATTTTCTGGGAAAAATATTTTTCCCTCTAATAACTCCTGCTTATTATGCTACTATATATTCAGTGATTCCCTTTTCAAAAATACTAAAATTCTAATTTTCATTAAAATCACTAGAATATATTTTCCCAAATATTAAAATCATATTAAAGGATGCACTTAAAAATAAGCACCCAGTTCATTTCTGAAATTAGGTAATGTTATTTCTGTTATAATGTTTTTATATGCTTTTAATAAAAATGTATATATTTAAGATGTACAACATGATTTGATATACATATATATACATAGATCAGTTATTACTCCAGTCAAGCTAATTTACATATCATCCCTTCACATAGGTTTCATTTGTGTTTATGATGAATGCAATTAATCCATTCTTAGCATGTTTCCAGTGTTCAGTATTAATGTTTTTAATCTCTTTTTGCCTTATTTTTACTCAATGCTAACATTTAGTTTTCCTTTTTTTTCAAATTTTTATTTATAGTTGATTTACAACATTCTGTTAGTTTCAGATGTACAGCAAAGTGAATCATTCATACATATACGTGCATCCACCCTTTTCTTTTTATATTATTTTCCCATATAGGCTGTTACGGAGTACTGAGTAGAATTCCCTGTACTATACAGTAGCTTCTTATTTGTTCTCATTTTTATATATAGCAATTTATATATGTCAATCCCAACTTATCAATTTATCCCTCCCCCTTATCCCATGGTAACCATAAGTTGTTTTTCTGTTTTGTAACTAAGTACATTCGCACCATTATTTCAGGTTCCACATATAGGTGATATGATATGATATTTGGCTTTCTGCGCCTGACTTACTTCACTCAGTGTGACACTCTCTAGGTCTATCCATATTGCTGTAAATGGCATTGTTTTGTGCTTTTTCATGGCTGAGTAATATTCTATTATACACACGTACTACATCTTCTTTATCCATTGCTCTGCTGGTGGCATTTAGGTTGCGTCCATGTCCTGCCTGCCATAAAGATAGAAAGTCCAGAGACAAACCCATGCATCCGTGGTTACCTAATTTATGACAATATTTTCCTCTTTACAAATAATAATTTTGAGCATATATTTTTAATATGACAAGCTAAGGATCTTTGGTACATGGAATACCACTCTAATAGGCAGCACCATTATCTGCACTACCTTCTGTTGCCTATAACACATCTCAGATGGTAAAGCGTCTGCTTGCAATGCGGGAGACCTAGGTTCGATCCCTGGGTTGGGAAGATCCCCTGGAGGAGGAAATGGCAACCCACTTCAGTATTTTTGCCTGGAAAATCTCACAGACAGAGGAGCCTGGCAGGGTGCAGTCCATGGGGTCGCAAAGAGCTGGACATGATTGAGTGAGTGACTTCACTTTCAACCTATAGCTCATTTAACCTTTATCTACTGTTTAAATTAAATGGNTTTTTTTTTCTAATCTCTGAATTTATGCATCAAGGGAAAAATTTCTATCAACACAACAGTTAATGCATAGTGTGGTGTCTGAGTAAAAAAGAATAAATTAATAAATAAATCTGTGTTGTAAAATGTTACTCTGACTTTACGCTTTGAAGCATACATTTTCAGTAATGACTACACTCTAAAAGAAAGACTGCACTGTGAAGAAGGAAGACAATCATAATTTCTCAAATGTCAGTTTTATTCTTGTTTAACGATTACTTTCACTGACAGAAAAACTACTTTATAGAACTCTGAAATATAGTCAAACTTTTTTTTTTAGCTCCTGGTAAGAAAGGTCTAACAGATATACAGAACACTTCACTTAGAAACAGTACTATTTTAACCACTTTAAGTGCACATTTCAACAGTGTTACATAAATTCATATTCTGATGTAACCAGTATCACCATCCAAAATTCTCATCTTGCAAAGGTGAAATCATGTATCCACTAAACAGCAACTCCCCATCACCCGGCTTCCCTCCCCTCACCTACTGGTAACCACTATTCTATTTTATTTTTCTGTAATTCTATCCTCCCTCCCCCCCCCTACATCCTAGTCTCTGGATAATCATCATCTGGTTCTCTGTTACTATGAAGTAGTTCTATTGTTTTTTCTGATTCCCCATAAAAATGAGATCATACAATATTTGCCTATTCTTATCTGGCTTACTTCACTTAGCATAAAGTCTTGCAATAGCTATGGTTTAAAGTCTTTGTGATTTCTTCTTTTTGATATTTTTAAATATTTTAATCTTTGATACATATGATATACACAACCAAGGCAAAATTTTAGTCAAACAGTAGCTATGTAAAAAATGAAATATTTTATCTTTCATTTAAGACATTTTAGTCATGACCGACTAATAGGTTGCAACCTGTAGTTTCTTTTTTTTTTTTAAGAAAACGTAATTAACATCTGTTGGAAATCTCGATTTTCATGAGGCATTTAAAATATTTTTTAAATTCTAAGGACAAATGTTTTAGATAAATGTTGATATTTTTTAATTATTCAGTTCAGTTCAGTCGCTCAGTCGTGTCCAACTCTTTGCGACCCCATGAACTGCAGTATGCCAGGCCTCCCTGTCCATCACCAACTCCCAGAGTCCAGCCAAACCCATGTTCATCGAGTAGGTGATGCCATCCAACCATCTCATCCTCTGTCGTCCCCTTCTCCTCCTGCCCTCAATCTTTCCCAGCATCACGGTCTTTTCAACTGAGTCAGCTCTTCGCATCAGGTGGCCAAAGCATTGAAGTTTCAGCTTCAACATCACAGTTCAAAAGCATCAATTCTTCAGTGCTCAGCTTTCTTTATAATCCNCAATCAAGAATAGAACTTGGGATAATGGTGAAAACAAAGCTGCCTTTTTTTCCCCTACATCTCTGGAAATGTAAGAGCCAAAAGTCTATGAGTGAAAGTAAGACACGCTACAGAATATCAAAAAACAGTTTATAATTTTTTAGACCAAACAAAGAGAGAAAAACACTAAAAATGTTGATATTCTATGATGTTATAAAAACTTGCCTCAAGGGAAATAAAGCATATTTATTTATGGAGAAAATTATGTGGTAAAATAGAAATAAAGATAAAAATTGTAACATGCTTTTAAAATACATCTATATTTCTCTATTATGATTGACTTGAAATGTGGTCAAAGGAGTTGATCCGTTGATTTTGGCAATGTGAAGGGAAAACATCATTTGTGTGGTTCTTGTATTTTAAAGCACTTTAAAAAAAAATTTTGTATTGGAGTATAGCTGATGATTAAAAATGTTCTGAGAGTTTCAGGTGAACAGCCAAGGGACTCCGCCACACAAATACATGTATCTGAAAGTGAAGTGTTAGTCATTCAGGCTGTCCAACTCTTTGCCACCTCATGGACTGTAGCCTGCCAGGCTCCTCTGTTCATGGGATTCTCCAGGCAAGAATACTGGAGATGGCTGCCATTCCCTTCTCCAGGGGATCTTCCCCATCCAGAGATCAAACCTGGGTCTCCTGCAGACGAATTCCTTACCAATCTGAGCCACCAGGCCCAGATTCTTGTATCTATTCTCCCCCAAATTCCCCTCCCAACCAGGCTGCCACATAACATTGAGCAGATCTCCATGCACTGTACAGTTCTTATTGGGCATCCATTTTAATATAGCAGTGTTTAAAAAAGCAATTTTTATTTAATCAGATGTGCTGACTAGTATTCATAGAAATAATGAGAGTCAGGCCTATGACAGACATTTATTTGTTTGATTTTATTTTATGCTTACCTGGAACCCCAGCCTTTCCTTTGGTGAGAATCTCTGCCAACCTTTGAATGACATGTACTCAAATTACTCTTTCTTTTGATCACAGTGACTGGTTCAGTGTGATTTAAGCTAATCAACTGGAGTTGTCTCTGGGGAGTGGACACATTTCAGAGAGGAGGGGCCTTATATTATGGAGCTATTTCAAGAAAATGTGAATTTTGGACTGCTGGTGGCTTTGATGCTTACTACACAGAATGAGTTAATATGAGAGATGGAGAGAGGGACCCCAGATAATATTGTTTTAATCCCTAAATCCAACTGTATTTAAAATTATTTTTGCACTTTTATGTTTAAATTATGTGAGAGAAAAATTTCAACTCTTGCTTAAGATATATTAAAGTTCTCTCATTGCAACTGAAAGAAGTATCAATTCAAGATTTATAGAATAAGCCTGACCTGAAATTTTATTTGGTGTCAAGGAGCATAATACCGCATAGAATAGGGCTTGTAATTTTGTGGTCTCCATATTCTCAGCAAGATTTATAAAGGTCTAAACAAAGTTAGGGTCTAATTAACTTGCATTGGTTTTTCTTCTTTTCTTGACAAGATCCTGGCTAATTTTGCCATATTATTTAGTGCTAAAATGATGCTTTCCAAGTATTAGAATCACTGTGAGAATCTGATTTCTCATAGTAAGTTCTCAGAATCAATTTCTTGGCAAAACTTTCTTACATGTTTGTATTTTTAATGTCTAATCCTCATAATACATGTTATTTTCATACATGCCCCCTGCTGAATTCCTGCTTCCTGTTATTGGTTATATGAGGGATTGCATTTTTGTGAAATTGTTGCTTTCTCACTCACAAAGATTTTTTAATCTGCTTTCTCTACATTTAGTTACAAGTATTGTTTTGATGTGAGTAGTAACTTCAAGTTTAACAACAAAAGATATCCCCCATCAAACATAAAACTGTACCATATGCTGCTATTTTATACAAGATAATGAAACTTTACTATGATTTTATAAGAATTTGATGTCATTAGAAAATTTTTCCATGATGTCATGGGGCTATAATGTTACAAAATTACCACAGTAAATTGACATTATACATCATGTCAAAGAACAATTAGAGTATGCTTGTATACAGGTCTTAAGAGTTTCAATTTGGCTATAAATGGATAATGCTAGAAAGATTCTAGGAAGTAGCTGAATAGGAAAGTAGAGGATTATAAAGTCATCTATTATAAATACTTTCAAAAGAAGCAAAGAAAGCAAATAATAAAAAGCAGAGAAAGAAGGCTACAATAAAAATAAAAAA